CATTTTATTGTTGTTTTTATTCTTTTTACAAAACAAAATTGTCTCAAATATTTCAAAAGTTATAAATGTTTTAGTAACAACCCCTAAGTAAAAAAAACAAGAAGCCGTAAAGCTCACTCTGAAACAGCCGTGATATATATATACATACATACATACATATATATATATATATATATTTATATACAGGCTTCGGCAGGAATAAAAACCGTACGGGCTATGAAAAGCCCGTCTTAAATAGACTTGGCGGGCTATGAGGGCCGCCCGTCTAGATGGTCTTGCACGGGCTTTTTTAAACTTTAAAAAAAATTCTAAAGTTTGAACTTTTTTTTTTTAAATTTGTTAATTTCTCTTCTTCTTTTTGAATGAAAATGTCATTGAATATTAAACATTTTGTGAATTGCACTAAAATAATATGTTAGAAAGCGATTAACTGTTTAAAATGCTTAATTACTTAAGTAATTAAAACACTGCAGTAAATGAGTTGGATAATACTTAAAACTAAGATTTCAATAATTGTTTTTCAAAGTTTTCACTTGCACAGATCTAATTTCGTTTCACGTGGATTAGTTGTTTTATGGTTGCTTTTGTTTAGATTTCTTACTCGAAGGAACTTTATTCAGTTATTTATGCTTTTTTTTTTTAATCTTTATTCCAGATAATATCTGGCAGATATAGTCAAACGAATGAACGTGAAAACGACGGGAAAAATCCTCGAAACAACCATGGCGTTTCATCACGTTTCCTTATTCAAAAAACACCTAACGTGTTTTTTTACCGAAGTCTTTTTGAGTATATTTATATATTATTGTTTTATTCAAGTATTCGATTAAATTATACAGGTTTTTATCGTGCTTTTTTAGTTCATTTGTTTTTCTTATTCTTTATGAATAAAAATATTACATAATATTTTCAAAATCTAATTTTTTTAATTATTCAGCAAATAGTTTGATATCTTTTTTTTTTTAACCTTGAATCAATGAGCTCGATAGTTTTAGAATTGTTTGGTATTAGCTTGGTAATATGATACGTAACTATGTTATTTTTCAAATTCAATTATTTATATACTCTTGCATTCTATTGGGCGTGCAAATTAAAAACTTAAACTGTTATTTATATTTTTATAACTTTGCTTTACCTATGCCTATCCTGATCGGAAATAGTTATTCTGATATGTGAATAAAAAATTTGAAATCTAATTTCTTTTAATAAAATAAGTTTTTATTTAGAAGTACTAATAATTTCTTAAGATACCGGGGCTTCCGTTACTTTATATACAATATAAGCATGTATATAAGCGTATGTATGTTGCTAGCTTTAACGTTCGTAGTGCCCTCTATAAATGCTAATGCTTTTGATTTTGCCAGACCTTTTAACTCGCGAAGCAATTCTTTTTTATATTTTATACAAACCATACACCATATCTTCACAACAAAAATTGTTCCATTCTCCACCTCAGTTTCGTTTCCACAGACTCCATCTTTACCCCACTCAAAAATGTTGCTAATGTAACTCTTCTACCAGATGATGCCATTACTATCTTTACTGAAAAACTTGAATAACTTGAAAAACTTGAATGACTGGATAACTTGAATAACTTCATAACTATAAAGCAACACTATTTATATTATCTACAAAAATTGATTAGACGTTTGTTGATTTTTAATGAGATATTTCATTTTCAATAACGAGTTATATAATTGCATATTAAATAAACTGCCGTCTCTTTAAGAAAAAACGTGAAGTTAACGCGGAAGTTAACGCGGAAATATCACTTTAAATGTCTTTAAAGTAAGACAAACTAGTTTATCGGAAAAAAGCGAAATACATGGATAATTAGTTTATTATCGTTATTATTATAAACATTGAAAAACCAAAACAACATGGTACTTCTTGTTCATTACATGTGTATATTTCCCTATTTAATATAATAGTTATTAAATTTTGAACATAATATGGTAACTGTTTGGTATTATATCAAACAGTTATCGTCGTTTAAAAAACTGTAAGATTTAGTTATATTATTTTCTACATCATGTTATACAATAATGATTAAATTGTTTAATTTTTATATTTAAATATAAACAATTATAAGTTGGAGTTTGCTATCCATATTAAAATAATGTCATGAGAGAAGTTTTAAAAGAGTATCTTAATAAAAAAACATCAAAATATTCATCTTTTTTTTTACACAAAACTTATGTTTCAGACGGGCTTTATTTCGCCCGTCTAAACTGACTTAGACGGGTGCGGAGACGGACACGGGCTATAGCCCGTCATTCCTGCCGAAGCCTGTATATATATATATATTTATATATATACATATATATATATATGTATGTATGTATGTATATATATATGTATGTATATACATCAGTGATGGATTAAGGTTTAGCGTCGTGGGGAAGGGGGCATGGGAATGAGTAGGGGGTGACAAAGGTTGGAGGTAGCACATTACCCCTAAAACAGTTTTTTGAGAATCGCACTTGTGATAAATATATTATAAACACTAAACAATCTAAAGTTTGAGTTTGCTAAGTTTACTTGGTTAACAATTATCATTAGAAAAAAATTAAAAAAGATATATTTACACTATATATCTTTTTAATATAATATATTATAGACGTCATACAGACAACTGTGGCCTCTGGGTTAAAACAAAATGATTGTCAGCGTTCTCAGCAAGCTCACATTTAATCAAGTTAATGTCAATGCGAAAAGATGTTGTTTTGTCATTGTTGATCACAGATAATTTTTGATCTTCAGTTTACTGAAGATCAAAATTTATCTGTAAAATATACATATAAATCTGTAAATATATATATAAATACATATACAGTATTTATATATATATATATATATATATATATATATATATATATATATATATATATATATATATATATATATATATATATATATATATATATATATATATATATATATATATATATATATATTAATATTATTATTATTTTATAAACATCAATAAATACGATTTTCTCTCAATACTAAATTTATTTTTTAA